ACCCCAGGAGGCTGGCTTCCGAAGGGATATCCTTTCGGCTACACTCAAAAAGTACACTCTGCAAAAAATGACTATTTAGCAAGCATGAATTTGTCTCACTGATTTTCGATGCCCATAAAAGTCCAATTATGTTTTATTAAAAGCATGGATAAAATATTCATGCTTTTATTTATTCTGTCAAAATATGCATCTTCCTCCAATTTTTGCTTGAATAAAGGGTATCGTTCGAATTTTAAAAAATTTCATAAACATGAGATTTTTAAAACTGTGAAATGGCCGTTCATAAATCGTCATGTCTCTGCAATTACGAACTTGGCTCTTAAAGTTGACAATATGGATCAAATCCACTGTTTAAATTTATGAACCCTATATGGTCCCCCTCAATTACCGTAGAGAAATGCATGGGTTTCCATACACGGGAAATATACGGCTTGTAGTTTAGAAACCCTGAATCCAAGTGTAACGGTAGGGCGGGTTCAAAATTAGTCGGGAAATGGAAAAGTATTTCAAAACCGAATTACACCCTTCCTTCAAGTATGTGGACGGAAGAAGACGTAATTGTCTATCGAATAAGCAAAAGAATAAATATTTTTATGCATGCTTTCCATGAAACATAATTGGACTGTTATGGGCATCGAAAATCAATGAGACAAATTCATGCTTGCTAAATAGTCATTTTTTACAGAATGTACTTTTTGAGTGTAGTCGGAAGGATATCCCTTCGGAAGCCGGCATCCTGAGGTTATTGAAATATTACAGTATTATGTCGCAGGCTGACTAGTTCTACAACCCTGATTAATTAATATTTTCAAAACAACACTCATTTCGGAATTTCGGTCGACATTTCATGAGTTAGCTCACCTACTGTATGTCCAGGTGTAGGTTTTCGCCGTGACAGTCACCTGCGCTCTTTCCCACCGCCGGTTTTCATGACCCAGTCATGGCACGGTGCGGGAAAATGAAAGTGCGATAGATGCTGAGGCAGTCTACTGTCATTAAAGACGATTTCACCCGCAAGTCGTTGTTCCTGTTCTCAGCCTGTTATGGAACACAAGACGGACGTCGTTAGCAACGGCGGCAGATTCATCCGGTAATTTCCGGTCGAGAACGTCAGGTTTACAACCTCGAGCCAACATACTTCCCGACTAAACCACGATTAGAGACACCTGCAGACGAGAAAGTTTTACACCTGAATTTTTTCTCGACAGCAGTGGACTGCAGAGCTTCAAGCAGAGGGGTGTGCTTGACGGTCTATTTGATTGGAGGCAGGGTTGTGGCTAATAGTTCGTGAATTTTTTCTCTCGTGCTTTCGCGCAACAATCTGTCAAAGAAAATACAACTAAATAAGCAGACTGTTGATAGCATGAAGGCCATAGAGCAGTCATTGAGAATAGCGGTGTGTCACGTGGAGCGCAGCTGTCCTGTTTGATTTGACGTTAACCAAATGCTGTAGCAACGGGGTCAGGCACACAGAATACAGACAGAAAGACGTGCGGTTAATTAGACTACTTGCTAATACTTAGTAACGGTTATCCCGCAATGGAAGTTTACCACTTCGAGCTGGCATTAAAAATATGCATCATGTTTGTCGGCCCAGCGAACCACTCAGCTCTGCTCCAGGTCAAGGGACATGCTCATTTGTAGGGTCGGCCGTGTGGTTGGCGTCTGGACTTAAAGCGCGAGTGTGAAAATCTATGTCGGACTAAAATGAAGCTGTATGTTTTCGTAGGCGTTTTTTGTCCACTTCACCGGTTTCGACGTTTCCCTCTGAATTTAAGAAGTCCTCCAGTCTATTCCCATCATGAGGGCAGCAAAAACGAGAACTGCTGCGGGGAGCGCTGTTTTCTTCCTTCTTCCTTCCCTCCCGCGGTTTGCACAGACCCTGTGTGTGTTTTCAGTTATAAATTGTTTGGTTGCAATCATTTGTCCACTGTCCTTCCTAGAGGGTGTTGCAATTTCACAGCGCCCCAAAGCCACCAAGAGCAGTGGAGTTATGAAAGCCTGAAGAGCAATCTGGAATGGTGTACCTCATTCCGTTTCACAACTGTCCCTGTAACTACACAGGTCAAACTAGACGCATGCTTGGATCGCGCATACGCAAACATAAGCTGGCTGTGTGACGAGGCGACGCATTATCCCAAGTGGCCACCCACACCTACGAAGTGGGTCAGGAGTTTAATCTCGCAGCCACCAGAATAGTCGTTAACGTCGGAAACAAGACAGGCCGAGAATTGATTGAAGCCTGGGCTTTGGGTGAGAACTCGGTCAATCGATTTATCGATCTGGCGCCGGCGTACAGAGCCCTGCGTAGTCACCTTCAGTCTTGCGCTGTCGGTCGATGATTGGCCTAAATGCCCTATAACTGTTGATTGTTCTGTTGCTGTTACTAACTCTGACGATGAACTCCCGCACGAGTCCGAAAGCTCAGGACAATAAACAAAATGTTCCGGTGTTCGAAACCACTTCTTCTTTATTTATAATACAATCATAGTGCATATTAATCACATGGATGCTGCTTTCTTCCCACTCGCTATCAGAATACATTGCAAAATCACCTATATTATAAATGGAGAACTGAAAAAGTCATAGGGCTCATAATAACAGGAAGAAAACTGTTGAATAGCGTATGAAATACATCGACTATAGCCCGAGGAACCGACCACACACATTGCCGGTTGCGATGAGGCCCATTGTACTTAAGCGACAGTTAAAGCCACTGGCAGACCCTTGTCACTTCGACCGTCGGGCCAGATCACAAGTAGGAAGAGGAGAGGCTAGGCACCAGTAGATAGGATACGCACATGTTGCAGGAGTCACAATGCTGGCAACACAGGTACTAGTCAAAAACCCAGACAAGTGCTTTGCTGATATTCTACCGCTGTTTGACATAGCTCATTGGTGAGTCCCCCAGCATTCATCGTGTGTTTTCCTGGTAGGATGACTAGATAGATTTTTGTCGTCTGCATAGAATAAACGGAGGATAACATTGAGCATATTAACGGCCAGACGGGAAGCGCATGTCGGGCGTCGCCCGAAGCGGCCTACCAGTGCCTTCGTTGGGGAAGCCGCAGTATCTTGCGTAAGGGCATATCTGCATCGGCGCTTTGGATTTGGATGGCTGTGATTGGCTAAGAACCAGACAGAACTTCTCACTTTCGGGCTTGACCAGACGCAATTGGGGCATCATGCGTGGTCTCGGAATGCCAGAAGGACGACCGACGACGTTGTGTGCATACAACTATGCGCAAGATCCGATTGGCTTGCTTTGACGGCGTCCCCAGTAGGCATTCTTTTGCTTTCACTTTTCGCCGCATTGACGAAGCTATCACTCAATGACATCTAGATGCGGTTAATTCACTTAAGTTAGTGCTCTCTTTCGCATACCAAGTCCCGGCAGTTCTTCGTTATGCGTTGTTCTGTGAAGTCCAACACGTGCGGAATGTTTGTAGATGAAGAGAGGCTGTATGGGATATAGCGCCAAACGGCACTCCACGCACTGGTTATGTTTACTTTTAAGTATACGATATAATACTTTTGTATGGTTTATCTCCCGTAAATAAGCAATCCAGAAAAGGTACGGACAGAGGATTTGGCAATTTTTCTCAATATCTCATAATTTATACGGCTACCCCGTTGTGCAATTATAATCTAAGAGTAGGACTCTTAACCAACCCAAATATTAGCCATACTTGATATTAAATTAATCTCTAAAGGATGTTTAAGTGCAAACTCCGGTCGAGGACTGTTTTAAAATGTTATTCGAAATGTGCTGTTTCATTTACTTAGTTTGTGTATGGACGAGATTTCTATAAACCTAAAACTTATGTTTGTTTAGCTAAAACAGTTTATGTTGTTTTCGGAATTTCCCTTTTCTAAAAATTATTATTTCTGAACAATGAAATGCCACTCTTGGTATCTCTGTTATGTTTTAAATTCTCTTAAAGTCGTTCATTTTTGATTCAGAATTTTGGTACATTTCCTTATACAGCTTTGCGGATGACCAGCAATGTTTCGCAAACTTCAGCAGTTTCCACGAGTTAGGAAGCCTATTGAATTCCCAACAGTATTCTGGCTCTTTGGAAATACAGAAGTAGCAGTTGCATGCCAAACATGGAATTGGGCCAGCCGAATGTTTGGGCGTTATATTCCGTATCTCCTGTGCGGGAGTGTAAGGATGTGTAGCTATGGGTCCGCGTGATAGTCGTAATAGGTCGCTCACTTGCTTGCAGACGTTGGCTATGCCTAGCGTCCATTTAATGACACTGAACTCTCACATTTGGCTCCTAGAAGCTAGGCTCTGCCCAGCGGCCACACCCCGATAACAACCCGACCAGAGGACTAAACCGGGGCGGGGGTATCCGAGTGTGCATCTCCACACACGGTAATTCTGTGCACCTCTTACTCTTTCCCTCTCATTATCCCTCCCGTTCACTTTTCTCTTCTCTAGCCCCACTCACTACTCCTGCTCTACTTTTTCCCCCCACGTTCGAAAAGCTTACGGCAAGGACGACAAGCAATCACATAGGCGGTATAAGTCAATTGGCTCGTTATCCCATTACCCAATACACCACCCATAATGGAGAGCGGCAGCCGTCTGGGCGACTAAGCGGTCCTATTAAGCGAGGGTGGGAGATTTTAAAGGATGTCCTAAACAAATGTTGACGTCACGACATTTGCCCGCAAGCCGTAGCTCGCTGATGGCAATACCTGTGGTCGAAATTAACAAATAAGAAAAAAGGATCTCTCTCTTGCCCCTCTCCCTCCCCACCATTCCACTCCACAGGCTGCTAGGAAGAGTCCGCCAACTCCGGCAGCCAGAGTGTTGGTCCCTTCTAGATAATCCCAAGAGCAACAGTTCGGAACGGAGGATGGCGGTTGTTGCTCAGGAAGTGCCGCGCTAAAAGGTAAACATCGCCCCATTAAAGGAGACCCGGTTCACCGCACAAGGCCAGTTGGAGGAGGTGGGTGCCGGCCACACCTTCTTCTGGAGTAGCCGTCCCATGGTAGAGCAACGAGACACAGGCGCCGACTTTGCCATCCGGAACGACTTCGTGGGACAACTGCCCTGGCTGCCGCGGGACATCAGCGAAAGCCTGATGAGTCTGCATCTGTCTCTTCGGGAATCAGACTTCGCCACCAACATTAACGTCTACGCCCCTGCAGTGATCGGTTTAGACAAGGCGAAAACCAAGTTTTGCAAAGACCTACACGCCCCCTGGCGTCTGCGTTGAAGACGGATAAGTTGATCGTTCTCGGTGATTCCAATGCCTGCGCTGCCTGGAGGGGGGATGTGGGTGCTCACGGTATTGTCGGCTGCAGCGACAATGGTTAGTTTTTTCTCCCGCACCCACAATAAACACGGCCTCCTGCTGACTAGCACCCTATTCCGCCTGCCGTTGCGGAGGAAGGCCACCTGTTTGCACTCCCGATTGCGGCGCTGACATCTACTGGACTATGTTCTCGTTCGGAGGTGAGATCGGCAGGGCGTGACGGTAACCAGGATGATCTGCGACGCCGATGGCTAGACGGATTAGAGGTTTGCCATCTCCAAGATGAGGCTCCGTCCGCAACCTCGCGGGAGGCCACAATTTAAGTGATCACAAGGTAAGCTGATAGCGCTTAGATATGTTTAGCTGCTCTGTCATTTGCATTTCAGCAGGCAACTGACCCAGAAGTTGGACAACCGTTCATTCGGTGCCCTAGGCTCCGCACCTCACCAGGACTGGTTCCACAACAACGACACAGCCATTAACAACCTGCTCGCCTAGAAGAACAAGCTGCAAAGAGCCTACCTCGACCGTCCAACCGATGCGGACTAGCGGCTTCCAAATCTCGCCGTCTTGCGCAGCAACTAATCTGAGTAACGCGGGATGCCCGGATGGCTTACACAGTCGAGGATATCCAGTGATACGCCGGCCATAACGAATCAAAGAACTTCTTCGCGATCAGGATGATCTACGGCATCGGATCGAATGAACTGCACCGCTTCTCAGCTTCGATGGACCAGCGCTTCTTGAGGAGAATGCGCAGATTCTGAAGCAATAGTACATGCAATTCAGATGTGCCCTCAATCGACCATCCACAAACTCCGACGCCGCCAATGACCGACTTTCCTTAAGTGGAAAGAAACGTTAACCTGGACCTTTCGCCCCCGCTCCTAGAAATCATCCTTGTGGTGCAACAACTCTCCAGCGGGAACGCATCAGATTCTCGTGCAATCCCAGCTGAAATCTACAAGCAAGGCGACCACCGTCTAATGGACCAACTCACGACGCTAGTTCGAGAGATGTGGGACTGTGGACAACTTCCTCAGGACTTCAAGGGCGCAACCACCGTTCACCCCTACAAGCTCAAAGGCAACCGGCAAGTCTGCGACAATCACAGGGACATCTCACTGCTCAACATCGCTGGAAAGATTTTGGTCACCATTCTCCTCAATCACCTGAACGGCTACCTCGAGCTAGGACTGTTGCCAGAATGTCAGTTTGTTTTCTAGGACAACGCGGCACCATTGACATGGTGTTTGCTGCTCGCCAGCTACGAGAGGACTGCCAGAAGATGCGGACTCTCCTCTACACCACCTTCAGGGACTTAACGAAAGCCTTCCATACGGTGGATCGCGAGGGATTTTGAAAAATCAAGCAGAAATTTGGTTGTCCTGAACGATTCACGCATATGGCACGTCAGCTCCACGATAAGATGATGGTGCTTATCACCGACAACGACATAATCTCCGAGGCATTCGTAATGACCAATGGAGTGAAGCAGGGCTGCGTACCTGTTCCCGACCTTTTTAGCCTCATGTTATCTGCCATGCTGGTGAATGCCGGGTCCAGGAGGGAAGGGGGAGAGAGTGTGGTAGATGCTGCGCAGGTCTGCTCTCACTATAAACCAATTCACGTACAATTTGCCGTGCCTGTTTCATCTTGCTCCTGGGCCTACGGTGGACATCCTCGGATATAACAATCAAACTCTCCTCTCCGATGCTCTCTATTCCTGTAACTAATCAGTTGAAACAGTACGGATTTTGAAAACAAGTTTTGCAAACGCGAAATGGCAAGTTGTGGCTGTTCACAGTCAAGAACAAATCACACCTTTTATTTTGCCGCTACGTTGATCCAAAAACCCACCCTTCGCAAGGCTAAATAGGTTGCCTTAAAAAGAAGCTCCGCGCGACACGCCTAAAATCTGCCAGTCACAGTCCCACCCATTGTGCGTTCGCCATTAGAAACTGAAGTTTATTTTAGCACAACGGCTTTACCTATCAAAAATGAAGGGTTTCGATGACAGCTCGGCAAATGTCAGATGCCGTGGGCTAGAAAGAGATCTCTCTAGGACGTATTTTGCTGAATAACGCCATTAATTATAAGGCTAATTCATTGATATTTTGGCAGATTTTGAATAATTCATATTGACCCAACTGTGAAAAACTCGGCGCCACGGTGGGATTCGAACCCACGCAGTAACGAGGAGGGTTTAGTACAGCCAACGCCCTATCCACTTGAGCTACGTGGCCCCACCGGACGACGCGAATTTAATCACATCTGGGTCAAGTTATCCGCCCAACCTACTGCAACGTCTGGAATCCACCAAATCTAATACAGTAAGTTGACTACCCAAGCAGGATTCCCTAAGTAATTCACCCAGAATCCTATATGACTTATTCAAAATCTGCCAAAATGTCAATGAATTTCGTGAGCCTAGTAGTCATCTGGTGGATTCTGGGTAAATTACTTAGGAAATCCTGCTTGGGCAGTCAACTTACTGTATCCGATTTGGTGGATTCCAGACGTTGCAGTAGGTTGGACGGGTAACTTGACCCAAGTGTGATAACACTCGCGTCGTCCGGCGGGGCCTCGTAGCTCAGGTTGTTAGAGCGTTAGGTGTAATAAAGCCTTCCCCCTTACTGCATGGGTTCGAATCCATACCGAGGCGCCGAGTTTTTCACAGTTGGGTAAATATGAATTATAAGTTTAACATGTATTCTGACAGGAAGGGAAGTGTAATCGTTCGAACATGAGTTTTATTTGCCCTATGCATCCGACTCAGTCTAGATCCGATCATCGAAGTCAGAATCAGAAATGGGCAACGTTTTATACACGCAGTGTTTATAAGATGCAGCTGCTCTGCCATAGCACCCCTTTAAAAACTGGCGGCTCCAGCATTCATCACAGATGGCTACAGGCGATGCGATATTGGCTTAATTGACGTAATTTCATCATCGTGCATGGGTTCATGGTTAATGCGGCCTAGCGGCACTGGTACTGTCCCGCACGGGTCCACTAAAATTTCCAGCACAGAAGGTAAGACCGGAGATTGTTGCACTTGCTAATCACCTGATTCTGTCTCCGAAACTTCAGATGAATGAAGCACCTCTTTCAGCTACTACCTGTCCCTCTACCCGCCTATCCACTGACACTTGTGTCATTTCCCGTATCGGTAATATGTGCCGATGGTTAAAAATCTATTCTCTTCGTATTGATGGAGATACCAAGAAAAAGCTTTATCCAAAATAAAACTGTCTAAATTTTGCTCTTTGTCGTCATTTTTGTCTCAGAACTCCACCTCACCAACTGCCGCACCTTTTAACAGCCAAAGACACACTCGCATCGAGTTTCAGGGACGCACCAGGCATCAAGATTACAGTGACGGACTCTGCTTGAGCGTATTGATAGGCGGCAACATACTCCTCCATGCCATTAGCTTAGCGCTGATTAGTCAGGCGGTCGTGCAACTCACGCCCCAGACGCATAGAGGTCGATAATGTGGATGACGCTGACACCTGCTACAATTGCGAGATGCCAGTGTTGCCCGGAGCCCTCGAGCAGGCGGTTGAGTGTTCATTATGCCTGCAGACTTGCAGGAAACCGTATCGTCTACCATGCGAACACTTCTTCTGCAGAGAACCCTGTCTGCAGGCTTTGCTCAATACAGAATCAGCTGCTTGCCCAATCTGCAGACTTCGCTTCACCGAGGCGGATTTGCAGCCGTTCCGGTTCCTCAATAATCTCCTGGAACTTATAAAACAACCTGCGCAAGACAACCAACAAGACGAAGGATTAATATGCCCCATCTGCGTCCGACGGGTAGAAACGCCGCTGCTGGTTTCAGCATATTTTTCGGAAGAGGTGTGCAAAGACTGCTGGAAGACTGGAGAAACGCTCTTTGAAGAGGCTGCTGGCACAAGTGACGAGGAAGAAGACTCAACTGAAGTCAGTACAGAGGAGGAAGGAGAGGGAGAGGGCAGAGGGCAGAGCGGACACGGTTACTATTTTTCTTACTTCGGTGATCAGGAAGAAGGAGGCAGCCGCATCATTTACGTCACTCGAGTGGGACAGGAGAATTCTACATACCCCGATCCGCCTGTTGAGCCCGTGTTAAGAGCGGTCAACCGTACCCGTCCCTCCGTCGCCCAAACACAGGCACTCAGCCCCCCTCGAAGCTCTCAGACTAAAATCGCCTCAGCTAACGGAAAGGCAAAAAAACGAAAGGGTTTTCTTAGACGGTTATTTAAACATAACTCGCGGAAATAAACCTGTCGGCAACCCGGATGAGGAGTGTTTTGATTTACTTGTTTACCTTATTTGTCGCGCGTGCCAGTACATTTGAAGTGAGACATAATTCAGGTTTCTGAGAATATTAAATAAGAGAAGGTAATCTTTTACGCTACTGGAAGTCATTTTCATTGATGTGTCAACAATCTGAAATAGAATACTGATACTTCGTTATCTTATGGACGCACTTTGTTTTTAAAAGTGTTTTCGATTGCCGAATAATTTGAAATCTGGCCTGCTGTTGCACTTACATCTGGGGCCTCCATACTACAGGCCGCACACTCTCCATCTAAGGAGATTCATACATTCCTCGATATTGCTAAGATAGTGACCCATTTGACTCATGAAAATTTGTAACGGATATGTACCAAGTTGTTTACTTACTGCGGAGAATTACTGAACGGACAGATGCAATTTTACTCAACAGGAAATTTCAGGATTTGAGAAATGTCATAATCATGAAATCTTTTTAGACCGAAAGTAACCATTTCTTCGAACCTGCATTTTGGACAAGACGCAAGTTACGACAAATAAGTTCAAGGAGTGATACTTCTTTGCACATTTTTTTATAAAACATGAACGATTTGTAAAGGACATGGACAATCAGTGGAAAAAAAACCATACTTATTAAACAGTCGACTAAGTGGATATACTCTTTGCGGGCAGTCGCCTTTCGAGGAAAAATCACTACTTGAGAGATGTCTGGTGGGCTTTTAATTCAATGCTTAACAGAACCGAAATTATAGCTTGGGATCTTCCCCGTCCTAAATTAGTGCACAGCTGATCAATGATGGAAAATATTGCTGCACTTTAATTTCCTTAGAAACTAACTGGTGGCTGTGAGTCGATCAGTTTATACTAGGGTCCACAAGCACAAACCGAAGTTTTATGTGGGCCGAAGTCCATCCGCCACAGCGGGATGACCGCGTACTATTCATTAACGACCAACAGGCAGCTAGTGGTATGCTTTAGTATTAGAAGACACCACGAAGAATGCTCGGAGACCCACAGAAGAGCCGAAGCCATCGCAGCTGTGCCATGCAGCAGCAGAAAGATCGGCAACATATGAGTTTGGGCCTTAAGTTAGCACCTGTGCTACATGCATGCATTTCTCTACGATGTTAAGAGGAGACCATATGAGGTTCATAAAATTAAGCAGTGGATTTGAGCAGTATTGTTTACTTTCCAAGCCACATTCGTAAATGCAGATACATGACGTTTCATGAACGGCCATTTAACGGTATTAAAAAATCTCACAATTAGAAACTTTTTTTAAACCGAATTATACTCTTATTTTGAGTATGAAATTGGAAGAAGCTGTGATTTTCTACTGAATAAGTAAAAGAATGAATATTTTTAAGCATGTTTTCCATGAAATATAATTGAATTTTCAAGGGCAGCGAAAATCAATGAGAAAATTGCATACTACTTAAGTAGTCCTTTTTTGCAAAGTATTGATCTTGCATGCAGCCGAAAATAAGTTCTTTCGAAAGCCGACACCCTGAAGTAACTGGCTCATTATATATTTATGCTGCCTTATGATTAGTTTTACAACACTTCGTAATTTATCTTTTCGAAACGAGAACGCATTTCGAAATTTTGGTTGATATTTCATGAGTTAGCACATCTACTGTTTGAGTTTGGGCCTTAAGTTAGCATCTGTGCTGCTTGTATGGTAGGTTTCAACGCTAAAAAGGGGGAAACCTGCCAGAAACAGCTATTTTAGCCCGTCGTACTTTGCTTACAAAACCTCCCAAGTGCAGTTCTACATATTTCTGTCCGCGCTTCATCCAAGATAAGGAAATGGCAAACGCACAATCATTCCTTAAGACAGCTATGTGGGAAATGTCGTCGTTCAGAAGTGTTTTATTTGCCCAAGAATAGTTTCTGTGAATCAGATTATTTTTTTTCTACATCCCCCCATTAGGCGACAGGAGTTACC